CGACTACGTTACTTATGTTTCGTTTATAAGTAGGTTTTCGAGATTACAAGTAGGTCGTTTATATATGAAGGTACTCACCCTTTGGGAAAGCAAGGCTATGTGAAATTTAATGGAAATTTAAGGTTTACTCATATAATTGCGAAAAAAATTCAACCACTTTCTTTATCACCTTAAATGAAATAGGGCGAATACACTTAACATATTTTTATAATCTCGTTACGATATTTTTCAGATTTGTTATCATTTATTAGGCCTTCGGACAAGTCTCGTCGTATATCTCGTCAATTTTGAGTAGGATCATTTTATTATAATTGATTTTAATGATACAATCAACCCTCTTGTATCTCCTATTGGTAACTTATCTGTCAGCAGCATGTTTGTGACTAAACAAGTTTCGATATCTAACATATATCTACTTAAAATAATAATTTTTCATTCTAAAAAATTCCCCTTTTTACAACTATATACAAGTTAGTACAACAGATATAAATGAGTAGCTGACAGACAAAGTTTTTTGGATCTAGTTTTTTTTATCATTACTTCCTTATCTATTCATTTTGACTTGAAGCCACTATTCTTTCTTTTAGCTCGTCCCTACATGGCTCCGCAGAACTTTGAGCCTTGATCTAGCAGATGCACTAGTTCTCCTGTCCCTTAATTCAGTAAGCACATTTATTATCCATTTTGTATACTAACGTCTTTGGCTAGGCTTTTCTCAATTAAACCGTTTTTTCAGTGGAAATGCTGCAATTCTGGGTCTTTGGCCAAAAATAAGAGCAAGAATGTAAGCGAACATCAAGCCTTTATTATTCACTTGCTGGTCGTCCACCTACTTTATGTAAGTTTATCGTATACTCGCCTTAGCTCTTTTGCCATTTTTACCTTAACCGTATACTATTTTTTAGAATATCCGAGCTTGTAAGGATGGGATATATAAATAGAAAGTATGTTTATAGACTTAATATATCTTGAGTAATAGTTCTAGTCACCATAGGTCGCACAGGGCTGATAGCTGAATGGTGACAGGATGATCTAAATAAGTTTCACCTTTGCATTTAACTTTACATAGCTTGCTTCCTAAAAAATATTCCCATCCAAGGTGGACTACTTTTTAGACTTCGCTTAGACCTTATCATCACACCCTATTGATATTTAACGTGATTTGTGCAGTGTATTATTTTGACATATTTATAATTGTCCATATTTCCACGAATACCCGTGGGTCACTGGACGGACAAGGACTTTATTTGAAAACAGGCTTCTTGTCAGATTTTTCTAGTGGGACTATCGATGCAATAAACGTATGTTTTCTATTACTATTAACTACTTTACCTTATATGACCTATGGCGGTCAGAGCTCTTGTTTATGTTAGGATATCTATTGTTTTTATGAGATCAAAAATATTCTAGTTCAACATCATTTTGTCTGCTTAGTAAACCTCATCCTTTATAGAAGTGGGTTGGCCTTGGTTTCGCAAATTGATATTGTTGTCAGGGGGACTCAGTTAAACGCACCTACTACTATAGTGAGGATTTCGAACAAGGTGAGTTCAACTTAGTCCCCCTCACAACAAGAACAAGCTTTGAAAACGGAGTCAACCCAACTGTATAAATCGAAAGGAGACTGCGACCACATCGAGGGCCACATCATCTTGGTCATATAACGTCATCCTTTATTTACACTTCATTGAGACTGTGAAATATCTTTTGGTGAACTTTATTCGCATTTTATGATGGCCACTCAGCGTTTACTTCCTATTTAACTATGATTGATTCTTCTTTACTTCTAAACAAATGTTAATGTAATTTACCTCGCTCTTTATTTATATTGAATAAATTAGTTGGGTATTGCTGCCAATGATCTTGGAGTAATCGCACCGTATCGCAGTCAGGTTACATGCATTCGACGACATCTGAACTCTGATCATGGTTGCACTTATTTTGAGAGCGCCTCTGTCAAGCTGCCTTCGAAAATAGTTGAAGTGAACACAATTGACCAGTTCCAGGGCCGCGATAAGCAAGTTATTATTGTGTCTACAGTTCACTGTCCTCGTACTTCAAATCTTTCGGATTGTGGGCGTGTTAGCTGTGCTGAAGCTGTAAGGCCTATAAATATTTTCATATACCTCCTTCAAACGCTTTATAAGTTTAAGACAGTTTTTGAATATACTTGGATTCATATTTATTAGTCGGTTTCGAAACTATGAAAAGATCTCAAATAATAGTTTTGTTTACCCTAGGTCGCATAAGATGATGATAGACTGATAGTTAAATTTACTTACATTGATATGGAAAGCATTTACGATGCCATTGAATTTCACTTAGCCTTACCTCCCATATCATATTCTCATTCAGATTTAAATAGACTACAATGTAAACCTCTCGTGAGTCTCAGCATTCCCACGAAACTCGAACCAGGGTATTGCAACAATTATTTTAGACATTCTACCACTAGGCCATGATCTCCAGTGAGTCACAGACCAGACAAGAATTGCATGGCTAGCCAGGCCTATCTCATATCACAATTTTTGGCAGGATTGTCGGTAAAGCAAGCTTCTTTTTTCTCTTACAGTCGACTCAATTACTTCTTCAGAATGAGTACGCATCGAAACTAGCGATATGCCTGTATTCCAGATGCTATGGTTGTTTGGAAAACTACTTATTATCAATACAAGTAATGTAATTGATTGATTTTTGAGTACCTTTCTTTTCGTTTGTAGAATCGAGTGAGAATATTCATAAGTTGGCTGTAGGGGAATTGCCTTGGAGCCGTTGCCGCAGAATAGGTCCTCGGTATACCACCCTATGACCCAGATAAATCCTTGCTGAGCTTTCGTCTGTCATGTGACGGGCATTGTCAGAGCAAGACACTACGCTTAACGAAACACGAAGACAAGTAAATTGGCCGGCTTTAAACCTACCTATTTATAGTCCAATTTGCTTCACTTAGGCATCTCATGTTTAGGCTGGATATCATATGCTTTGCATAAATGTTTGGTCAAAAGTTAAGTTAAGTGGCGGCAGATGAAGCGTAAAACGGATGCAATTGTGACCGAACATCCTCTCTTAAAACCTATATCTTTAAGCCTGAAATATTACCACATGATTGCGTTCAATTGCACACGTACTGTGCTCTTAAAATAAGTGAGATGTTAGAGTCAAAACCAGATTCGAGCCTGATTAAGCCTCCTCCTGTTGATAATTGGTAATTCTCGTTCGACCTCTTCAATCCTATCCAACAGCCACATGTAGTTTCCACCTGGCTTTCTACACTTATTCCTTCTATTTTGGATGTTGGCTTATTTGTTGATTTCTATCCCTTCCCTAATTTTCCGCTTTACTGTATAGTCCCTACATCCAGCCAAGCTTTTGGCCTTAGACCTGTCTATCTGTTATCATGGGTGTTCGATACCCAGTTTTTCTACATATAATTTAGTTTATTGTTTTTTATTCATAAACCATTGCACTATGCAATGTGATATGAGAGACGCCTGGCTAGTCTTTAAATTTGCATCTGCTCTGTGGCCCAAGGGCACTCGTGACAGTGTGGTGTGGTGGTGATACGTGTAAGCTATACAATGTGATGCCTTTTGAGGGTACTGATGACACCCAGGCCAAGTCGATACTGCATTCGAATTCATTCTGGATGCGAATACCTTGTGACAGACAATACTAAGTTAAGTATGAAGGCCAAGATGGTGTGGCCTTTTGT